TTTGTTGTTACTGAGGATTCAGAGAGTCAACAACAACAACAAAAATTTGTAACTTTGGTGATGGATGTTAACTAGACGTATTGTGGTGATCATTTCCCAGTATATACAAATATTAAATCATTATGTTGTACACCTGAGACCAATAGAATGTTATGTGTCAATTATCCCTCAATAATAAAAAAAAAACAAGAATGATTGGTAGAGCCCACCCCCTCCATATCAATAGGACCCCAAAGTCCATTTACCAGATTTTTCTTTCCTTCTTTATATCCTAGAATTATCAAAGTCTTTAAGAAGCTATATAATGCACTGATAATGGTGATAAAAATAATACCTAATAGCCACTGGTTACTAAGCCTATACTATGTGCTAGGCACCTTACCACACACTTTATATACATAATCTAATTTGATGCTTACAAACCTTATATGGTCATATATTTTACAGATGAAGAAACGGATTCAGGGATTTTAATTGTCTAAGGTTACATAGTATACTAAGGATCATCAAATTTGGTCTTTGAGTGCAGGTCCACCATCCTGCTTCCTCATTCCTACTTCTTCTATGGCCTCCAGTAATCTTTAACATGTGCTCTCTTATGCTAATGACTGTGTGCTTGCATTAGTTTAAGTTTTCCATATCAGTAATTTCATATGTGTAAGAGTAAGAGAAAACCTGGAAACAGCGGCTTAAACAAATCATGTACAAAGAATTCCTCAGGGGAGCATTTCGGGGTTTGTATGGTCACTTCACAGTGTCATCAGGAGCTCCTTCTAAGTCTCTACTCTAGGGTATAACCCTCATTTTTATGCTGACAAAATAGCTGCAGGAGCTACAGTCATCACTCCTGTGTTCCAAACATAGAGAAGTTGAAGTGTGAAGGCAGAGGCAAAAGGGACAAGCCAATCAAGTCTTCCCCCCTTTTAAAGGTCTTTCCTGGAAACTCTACCCAGCAATTTTCATTTATCTATTATTCGTTGGAATCGGGTCATAATGACCACTCTTAGTTATAAGAGAGGATGGGAGATGTAGTTTTTTTCAGGTGGGCACATTGTTGCAATGAACAAAATTAGAGTTCTATTAACACAGAACTCAACCTGTTAGTTTCTTGAAATAAGCTGAATAAATTCATCCAGTGTGACTCTTCGCCAGTGACTGACTATCTGGGGGAAATTTGGCATGTGGCAAAAGCTGAGAATATCTTGAGGAAGGTAAAAGAGTTGGTTCAGTAGAAATTAGAACCAGGTAGACTATTTCTTGTGTACTTAAGAGAGTTGTAAAGAGTGCAGCTTGACCTGACCCAGGGAAAGAAGTAAGATCCAGAAGAGGAGTGTAACCCTGGTGTCTGGCCACACACCGACTTGTGTGAGCAGTGCGGGATAGGTTGTGGAGAGACCAAAGAAAAGACTAGAGATGGTGTACAAGACATAAAGGTTTATTGGGCCTTCCTTATGGGGAATGTCCAGGAGTGGCCAGCTGGACAGAGTTGTGCACCTGCACCCACTACCATGAGCAGGGACGGGCTTGCTATATAGACAGGGGAACAAAGGCTACGTGCTTGCCAAGAGCGTCTGTCCTTGCATGGCCAGCATTCTAAGGATCAGTAGCTCACAAGGAAGGGCTCTGTGTTCCCTCAAGATGTGATGTTCTGTGAGAGAAACAGTTACAATACCGGATGATTGGCAGCCTGCCCAGAATGGGGCCAGAAGGACCCATGGTTAAGATAGGGCATGTAGGCTAGTGCCCCTCCACCTGGTGATTTGAATCTAACTCCACTCAGACCACAACTATTTGGGAGAAAGTAGAGGAATCCCAGACTCTAAATACACCCTAAGCATTAGTGAAGTTGTGCCACTTGTAAGATTTTACTTCATAAATATTTTCTGTGGGTGGAAAAGCAGTTTTTTCAGATTTGTGTTGGGGAGAGAGGGTGCAGTGGAGGCAGGGTTAATTGGGAAACAGAATGAGGAAATGAGTGCAACAGAACAACGATGGGCTTGGGAGCGAAGTTGACCTGAGTTTGTATCCCAGCTCTACCACTTGCAAGCCATGTGACCTTGGAAAAGTCACCCAACCTTTCTAACTTTCCTATTTCTAATTTAAAAAAAAAAAAGAAATTGATGATATCTTCTTCATGTGCTTGTTGTAATAAGTAACAATAATGTAGATCCAGAGCCTGACATGTGGCTGGTGGTGGTGGTATGGCTGTTGTCGGTACTGCTATCACATGGCAAGTGTTGTCCATCAGCAGGTTCTGGCTGTGCACTTGCTGTGAGCCCCATTGGACTGCTGGTCAAGATCCTGGTTTCTGTTGAAGGAAGAGTGCAAAGAGATCTAGGAGAGTGAGTGGAGAAGTTAATTTTCAAAGCAGCAGTCACAAGGAAATGCCCTGAGCTCTTGATGTCAACTAAGGAAGTCTGCTGTTGGGTCAACTAAACTGTGGGTTTCAAATGCTCATTTGGGGCCACTTAAAAAAAAGCTCATGTAATGAGGGTTAGTGTAATGCCTGCAGAGTTGTTGGCGCATCATACGCACCCAACAAATATTCCCTATTATTAATGATGTTGCTTCCTTCCTTCTTCACTCAAGCAAGAGCAAGGCTCGTTGGTCTCATTTTGTGTGGCTGTCTCAGCTTCAGTAATCCCATAAAAACTTTAACTAGGGCATAAAGTACATGTATAATCACACTAGGCCCACAAAAGATAACGTGATTAATAACGAGTACTTGGATGGCAATAGTGTTTTAAAGTGCTTCTGTAGACTTGTAAATTTAATTGGCTTCAGTGCTTATGAGAGTGAGACTGACAGGAAGCACACAATCCACCTGTGTTTCCCTTCCAAGTTCCTTAAATAGCTTTGGGTTTCAGGTCAGAACTTCACTTTCGCCATCTCCCTGCCAGTAACACAGGCTGGGGGTGGGGTGACTTACATGTTCTTGCCTCTGATTTCTGAAATGTGAACAAGCTTGACTAGGTATTGGGGGGAAATCAAAGAACAACCCGTGTTCCTGGAAACAATACGCTGGCACAACATTCGTCATCATCACCGCCACCTCTCTCCGTATTTGCGTCAACTTTAATCCTTTCAAATCGCTTTCCCCTGAATCATAACATTTGATCCTCTCTGAAGCTTATGGAGAAGGCAGAGGAGATTTCATTTCCATTTTTTAGTTAAGAAGATTGAGGATCAGAAAGGTGACGTGACTTGCTCCTGATTGGCATGGGCTGGACTTCAACCCAAATCTTCTGCCCCCAAAACCAAACCAAACCTTTTCTACATGACTACACGTTGCTGCTAGCCTGTTCCCTTACTTTGTCTGGAAGAAAACCACATTCATTTATCTTCATAGTGGGTTGCACCCTTCGGAAGCGGTGAGCTATACACACATGCAGCACTTTATTGTTGTTTTAAATTGTTTCAGAGGTCTGGAATTCATCTTATTGATAAAGGTTGAAGATAGAAGAGGTTGGTGTATAATAGCTGGTGGCCCTGCCAGAGCAGAGCGTGTCCCCTTAGATTTGATCAGGGTTCATTCCCTGGCAGCCTACACCAGAGCATTCTCTGTAAGTGGAGTTGGTGTTCAACCACATAGGGGGCACCAGTGCTTTCCCCAAGTACAGAAGGTCTCTACTGTAAACATGACTACTGCTGGGTTTCCGGACCTTAAAATTCACCATTTGGGGCCTTGAAGATGAATTAGTCTTTAAAGAAATTCCAATTAAAATAGAAATTCTTTCACTGTACCTAACAACTTACATATTTGTGTGTGTGTGTGTGTGTGAGGAAGATCAGCCCTGAGCTAACATCCATGCTAATCCTCCTCTTTTTGCTGAGGAAGACTGGCTTTGAGCTAACATCTATTGCCAGTCCTCCTCCTTTTTTTTTTTTTCCCCAAAGCCCCAGTAGATAGTTGTATGTCATAGCTGCACATGCTTCTAGTTGCTGTATGTGGGACGTGGCCTCAGCATGGCCGGAGAAGCGGTGCGTCGGTGCGCGCCCGGGATCGGAACCCAGGCCGCCAGTAGCGGAGCGCACGCACTTAACCACTAAGCCACGGGGCTGGCCCTACATATTTGTTTTTTAAAAGCCTTAGAATATGGTTTGGGGATCACAAAGCCTAGCTCCTTGGGCTCCAGTGTCCTCATCCATGAGACATGAGCAGTAAGAGGCACCGTAAAGATCAAATGAGATGTATGTAAAAAGGCTATAAAGATGTAAGCTTAACAGAGAGCTGGGAAGAAGGGATGGGCTGGAGTGCTGGACTGGGAAGGAGGAGAGTGGTGGGCACACCTAGAGCTCAGAGCACTGGGTCTAACCCGAGGAAGCTCTGCAATGGGGAGGCTCGAAGGCAGTCTGGCTGACTTCATAGTTTTGTCCAGAACCGGACCAGTTTCGGCCTTCAAAGCCATTTGGGTTGCCTTGACCTCCAGCCATCTGTGTCTGGAAATGTAAAGCAAATGGTTAATGGCATCAGATGGTTAATGATCGCAAAAGTCCCCTGCTCACTGCCTAAAGAGAGAAAAGAGCCCCCTGGAGAAATCATCAAGGATGCTATTTTCAAAGTTGCAATTAATTGTATATTTGGGAAAGCTCATCTTCTGCCAGTTATTCTTTGAGAAAGGGGAAATTAAGGGTGATGGAGTAGCTGTGACTGAGAGGGCAGTTTGAATAGTCTTTATATGGCCAAGAGGGCAGATACAGAGCTCATATTCAACACCAGGGATCCTGGAACAAAGCTATAAGAGTCATGTTATGGGTGGATTGGGAGCTGACTTCCTTCAGTCAAAATACGTGCCTAAGAGTAGGTCTGACCATCTGACCCTAAACTTCCAAGTTGCACCAGGACTATCCTTAGGTTGCTTTTTCAAAATGCCTTTTTTCCCCTGTGGCTTAAGCCAAATATGCCTCCCGTCATCTCTCTTTGGGACATCTACATATGGCTGTGTCCTCTCATTTCACTTTTCAAACTTCCCCCCTTATTTCCCTTCTCTTTTCTTCAGCTAGTGAGACCTGCAACGACTTCCACCCGATGTTCTTCACCCACGACAGATCCTTTGAGGAGTTTTTCTGCATCTGTATCCAGCTCCTGAACAAGACATGGAAGGAAATGAGGGCAACTTCTGAAGACTTCAACAAGGTAAGGTTAAACTGAAGCAGAGGCAGTAGCTTCCTGTGTCCCCAAAGGAGTCTCACCTTTGCGTGGTCCCTTAGCTGTGTGGAAGGCAGTTGGCAAATTGGGAAAATGAGGAAGACTGTGATTTCAGGTTGCTTTGAGAATGGAGAAAGAAAGACATACCTACATAGACATGAAGCTGTGTGTTGGTGGTGCTCTCAGCTCCCTAAGGATAAGCTTGGTGCAGCTTTGTTCCTTTTGGCTTACTAAGCTGGAAAGGCACCAGCAGAGACCCTTTCTTGAGAAGCATTGTCTAGATGAACTTTTTCCTTTAATGGCATTAATCTGGGATGCCTTGTTATTGCAAGATCTATTGGGGAAAATGCCTTCCCTCCACCTGTACAAGTGGCTGCCATGGAGAGAATGAGATCAGGAAGACTGCTCTGTCGAGGTCACTTGGTTTCTTTGTGGGTTATGAATGTGTTGAGATAATCTGCCCTTTGCTGTGTCATAAAGGGTTTTTATTAAAATGCAAGATCTCTTTCCTGGAGTTAAGTTTATATGGAACATTTCTGGTTTACAGAAAGCATTTGATTCTTTGAATGGAGATGTCCTTCGGTTTTCTATGAGAGTGTAATTTCACATTTCTGTTTGTGAGTGGATGTTGGGTGGAGAGAAGAATGTTGACCAGTTTAGAGGAAGCAGAAGTGCCATGTATGCTTTTCAAGATAAACAAAATCTTTATCCTTAGATAAAGGCCTTGTTAACAATAATAACATGGCTGATAAAAAGTGATGGTTGGTACAGGTGTATTTAGGCCTTCCATATCTCTATTTTGCTACTGGGTATGGCTCTGGGTATGGTTGGCCCCATCACCCATGCCCACTGACCTGGCACTAGGGACATGACTCTTTCTAAGAGTCTAAAGGTCTGGTCTCACAGTCATCCTGTGGGGCCTTCATGGGCTTGTGCTTGAGACATAACATAATATCTGAATTCCAACTCTACTTGATATTCTTGTTGATCTTTGTCTCTCTGTCACCTTTTCTCTGAATTCACATCCATCCTTTTCCACCATATTTCTGATTTGTGGCATCTTAAACCAATATTGATTGAAAAGAAAGAAAACAAGGAAAAGGAAATGATGCTCTTCCCTAAGCCTTAGACAGGTTCTAACCTGACTGTCTCAATCAGCATAACAAACTTACCTGCAGTTATAGCAGGCGAACGCCGTTCCATCTCAGTCGTCATGTGCCGTCTATTTAATTTATTGAAACCAGCTCCAGTGATGCCCCTTTATGAAGATCACTGATCTTGAGGCTGCCAGCTAGAGCTGCCAAGGGTCTGAGCAGCTATGCCCAAGGACAGGCATGATTCAGGAAGGGAAGTGGAGGAAAGAAGCCCATTAATTCCCTTGTGATTATAACTACAGCTTCCTTGATTATGAGAGAGTTTGCAATTCAGGTGCAAACATCCCTGGGAGAGAGGAAAGGAGCAGGGAGACCTTTCTGTATAATCAAGCCAGAAAAAGTGGGGAGTTAAATCAATAGTCTCTGAAATGGCCACGGCCACCTTGCCCCTGGATCAGTTAACTCTTCATGTACCGCAGTGTTTCTGAAAGCCATCTGGTCCTCAGCTTTCACGTGCCGGAGACACCCATTCCTCCCGGAGAAGGAGGCCTCACTGGCTGTCATGTGTTCTGACATCAGGTGTCTGTCTTCTGTCTGAGAGGATTTCATTCCTCCTGCTTCTCCTGAATTACAGAAATTGACATTTTTATAAATGGCAATAATGCATGTGTTGTTGTTGATCTACGCATAGGTAGGGTATGTAGAAAATATTACCACATTCTTGCATAGGAATGGCCCAAGGGGATGAGCATTTAGACACTTAATCCTATAGAACTTAAAGTTTAGGACATGAATCCCCAAAAATAGATCATTAGCAAGGGAAACCAGAGGCCTCAGTCTGGAGGAGGTGAGCAGGGCTGGAGGAGGCAGGTGAGCAAGGCTCTCCGGTCTGTGTGGTTCATCATGGCCATGTGCTCATGTTGGTGGCGATGATATCCTGCCTGTGCAGGGTGCAGTCCTGCCAGGTGATAGCAAGCTCGCAAAGTGTCACTCTGAAACTTTTTCCATAATTACCTTATATGGTTGCAAAAACTCTCTTCAGCAAGATCTAAGAGCCAGGTTTCTCATTGTGGGCCTAGTGCCATATTTTTGCATTGTCTACAAATCATAGTCATTAGTCTGGTGTTACACATATGCTGCCAAGTAGTGGTGGCAGTTTATGGCTGTTGACATGCAGCGAGAGGCCTGAGAGTCAGAGGGTCCTACCCCATGTACACGTCTCCATCGGTCAAGAGTGGATATCAGGCAAGGATCAGGGATGTGAATAACAAGGGATTTAAGTTTTCTGCATTAAATATTTTTGCTATGTTTGCTTTTTTTTTTTTTTAGTACTATGCATGCCTTACTTCTGATGCCTTTTTAGTACTATGATGCCTTACTGATAAATAAAAAAGTATATATCAGTTATATACTGATATCAGTATATATCAGTTATATACTTTTTTATCATGTGTGTATTCGTTTTCTATTATTGCTGTAACAAATTACCACAAACTTTATAGTTTAAACAATACAAATATATTATCTTACAGTTCCATAGTTCCCAAGCCAAAAATGGGGTCCACTGGGTTAAAGCCAAGGTGTCAGCAGAGCTGTGTTCCTTTCTGGAGAGTCTAGGGAGGAATCCATTTCCTTGCCTTTTCCAGGTTCTAGAAGCCACCCCATTCCTTGGCTCATGGCCATTTTGTCCATCTTCAAAGCTAGCAATCATAGGTCCAGCATCACATCTCATCACTCTGATCCCTCTTCTGCCTCAATCTTTCAGTTTTAAGGACCCCTGTGATTACATTGGATCACCTGGATAGTCCAGGATAATCTTCCCTATTTTAAGGTCAGCTGATTAGCAACCTCAATTCCATCTGCAACCTAAATTCCCCTTTGACATATAAGGTAACATATTCACAGATTCTGGGGGTTAGAACATGTGCATCAATGGAAGATGAGCATTATTCTGTCTACCATAATGTGTATTTCAATTGTCCATATATTAGATTTGTAGGTGTGTGTATCAATTTAAGTTAATGAATCATGGACAGATGAGCTTGTTGTTGTTGTTCTTTTTGCTGGTAGACCTGCATAATATCAGTCGCGGAGTTCTGCTAGTGGTTTCTCAAATACAGATATCATTATGTCCCTTTTCTTTTATGTCCCTGTTCTGCCCCCACCAGACTTTTAAGAAGAGAAAGGCCCTGTGTGAGGGCCTCTAGTTCAGTGTGAAGAATGTCTTTCTGATATTTTTCCTGCTGCTTGTCTATCAGCCTCTGCTCCGCTTTACCAGATAATAAATTGGAAAAGAAAGAAGAGCTGAAATTTTAATCAGTTCACTTTTCTTCTTGTTATTAACTTGGTAGCAGCAGCAATTGAATTTAGGAACAAATGTGGATTTGGTGTTACTGGTAGATTTAATGTGTTTCTTGTTTCTTTAGATTGTCCAAATATGAATTCATAAATATCTTAAAAGAACCCAATATGAGACATAATTTCTTTTGAACTTTTTTGGACCTCATCTCAGGCTCTGGCCACTTTGAACAGAAGCATAGATGGCAGATTTAACTGTCCACCTGAGACCCAAGGTTCTATAACAAGTGCTTAGCTATCTGCCTTCTATAGCTCATTACTGGAGAAGCAGTATCCTTCAATACAAAATTTTGATTTTTTCCAACAAACAGTACTAGATTCCAGCAGACACCAGAATCTCTTCTACAACCCACCTTACTTGGATCCTAGTTTGTAGTCTAGTGCTTGGTAGTTAATGCTACTGTCAGAAGTGAGTGTTTGGAAAAGCAGCTGTCTTCCTGCTCCTCCAGACTTGGGAAGCAGCAGATGGGATGTTTTTTATTTATATAAGAGAAGTAGAATTAGAGAGTCATTAAAATATTTATGCTTTGAAAAGTACTTTCTTTCAGTTTCTCAATATAGCAGCCTCTGCAGAATAATCTATTGATTCAGGCCATTGAGTTTGTAGTCTATGTTTTTGCCTTTTATTACCAATATTTTAGAGCATGCATTATTCATTTTTATGGGCATTAGAGAGGGCTGAACTGCAGCTGGATACCTCAGCACACAAGTGGCCCCATAATCATTTCGTTGGTGCCCTCACTTTTGAGGAGGGTAGGAAAGAGGATGCAAACGATTTAGATATTTCAGGTACGGATCTCATTTAAAGCTTTTGTCACTGACTGCTCTACTTTAAAAATTCTGACATGGGTATGCGCATCAAAATCTATATTTGTGTGTGGCAGTGTTTCTCAATCTTGCCTGTATGTTAGAATCACCTGGGGCACTTTTGAAACCCCTGTTATCTCAGTGCCCAGTTATACCACAGACCAATCTTTGGAGCGGGACCAAAGCTATCAATGAATATTTTCATTAAGGTAGATTTGATCACTAAAGGTGAATCATGTCCATGGAATTTCCATCAGTTGTCACACATGGCACATGTCACCAGCTAGTATGAATTGCATGCATTGGTGAAGTAGTATGTCCATTGGTCTGCAAGGCTCCGTTTCTAATCCTGGTTCTGCCGTTCAGGAGCTCTATGCCTGAAAATTAAAAAAAAAAAATTAAAAAGTGGATACCAGTATTTCATCAGCCTCTCTTATGATGGTGTGCTATTAAGTTGAAGTAATAAATGTAAAAATGCTTTAAAGAAGTAAAATGTCGTACGCAGTTGTAAAGTGTTCTTTTTGCAAGTGATAAGATAAATCCTGTCTGTGAAAAATGAGTAAATTGCCCTTTTCAAAAGAAGACTTTTTTTGGTCATTATATTAAAAAAAAAGAAAGAAAAATGAAACTGTCTATGTACCCCAAATTAAGTTCTGAACTGAATTAAATAACTCATTTAACTTTGGCAGAAATAGGGTTTAAGCCGAAAATTTCATGGATTTTGGCGAT